GGGTGCGGGGTGTCCCCGCCGGGTTTGGGAGATGCCCCTGGGGCGCGGGGTGTCCCCAGCGCGGTTTTGGGGATGCCGCCGGGCTGCAGGGTGTCTCCCAAGCCGGGTTTCAAGGCAGCCTCCACCCTGGTGCCGCCGGCGCGTGGCCCTCGCCCCGCCCCCGGCCTGCTGTCCTGGGGCGCTGCCGCTCGTGGCCCTGCTTCCTCGGGCTCGTCCGTACCCCATCACCAGAGCAGTGACCCCCGCTGTCGCCTTGGCTTGGACGTCCACGCTTCCCCACGCGTTTTACATAAACCGCCTTTATCCACCTCGATTTCGGAGACCGGGGCTGCGGGCCCCTCGAAACCAAATATTTATGCCTGCCTCTCATCCCCTGCTCCTGCGGTATCCTTAATATAGCGAGTGTTTAAAGCCTGGCAGGGTGGATGAAGGAGGGGAGGGGTGAGGACGGGGGATTGATCTGTGATTTAAATAGAACTTTTTTTTTTTTTTTTTTGGTAACCAAAACATTTAGCTTTCCCTGTGAATGGTGGGTGGGTGTGTCAGACCCAGCACTGCTGCAAACCGCGCGCCACTGAAGACTGCTCAGGGCATAATTATCGTCTGCGATTCTAATAGAACTTTTTTTTTTTTTAACCAAATAACCAAAACATTTAGCTTTCCCTGTGAATGGTGGGTGGGACCCAGCACTGCTGCAAACCGCGCGCCACTGAAGACTGCTCAGGGCATAATTATCGTCTGCGATTCTTTCCCCTTTTTTTTTTTTTAAAAAAAACCTTTTTTTTTTTAATGTCTAACAAGTGATGCTGAGTCTGCTGCATTCCAGGGGAATGACTCACGCGTTCCCTCTGACCCGGGATGTGTTCCCCGTGTTTAACTGCTTTTACTTTGATGGTGGGGTGAGCAGATGAGCGTGAGGTTGGTTGGACGGTAGCGACAAGAAGGGATTGCCTTGAAAACGAAGCTCTGTTGTTCCTCCGAGAGGTCAAGATAAGCGGGGCTCGCCAGTTTTGACCGTTAGATCCAGCCTTAGGTGTGTGGGCAGAGCTGGAGGGGGTGTGCCGGGGCTGCTGCGGCTCGCTCAGAGTCGCAGCACCCTGGACTTGCCGTGTGAAAAGCAGCAGAGGCTCGGACGGCCGGAGCAGGGAAGCGTTGGGTTTGGCAGCGATCCTGGGGTGCCAGGTGCTGAACGGACCTAGAGCACCGCAGCCTCTGCCCCGAAGAACCTGCTGCATGAAAACAGCATTTTTGGGCCCGCGAAACAAGAAATGGGGTGCAGGGTTCTCGGGCGATGCCCGCACGAACGTCTCTGGCAGTTCAGGCTGTCGGTTCTGCAGCCCACGGCACCGGCTGGCTCAGTGACCTGGGCTAGGGCTCTGCTCCTGGTCTGCTAGGTAACTTCTTTGAGATGTGGGCAGCAGGAAACAGGAGGAGCTCCAGGCTGGGCTTTGCCAGGCTGGGCTTTGCCAGGCTCTTTGCGCCATCGGAGCCAGCATAGCGTCGTAGGTGTTTCTCAAAAGATAGGAGAGCAGCAGTAAGTACACAGCCTTCTGCAGGAGAGCATGAGGCATCACCTAGTTGCGCCTTGGGAAACCTGATTCACTGTCTGCAAAGATCTGTCTCGTACCAGGAGACTTCAGCCAGCTTGGAGGGAGGATTTTCTGGCTGTGGCTAAAGCTTTGGATAGCGGGAGCTGGACCTGCCTTCCCGTCCTCGGGCGCTGCACGGGGAGAGCTAAGCCGTGCCATGGGCGCGCTGCTGGAGGCTCTGCAGGTGGGCTGCCGGGGCCGTGATCAGCGCTGCTCCTTGGACTTGGGAAGCAGGGAGGCTTTTCCAATGATTCCTTGGTCTGTTCACCGACAAACAACCAAGAAAAGTACCTTTGCTGGCTTGAAAATTGGTCCCTGGTGCTGGCTGAGCCACGGATGCGAGGAAGCTGTCGGGTGCTGCCGGTGGGCCCGGCTCTGGCAGCCGCAGGTGCGGGGGGCTCGCTCGTGGAGCGGGGTCCTGGCTAAATCAGGGTGGTGTGAGTCTCTGACATACCGTGATGCTGCCGGTTCTCCTCCCTCTCGCGTCCTCCACGTGGTGCCACCTTCACGACTTGCTTCTCTTTTTCTTTGTAGCCTCCTCTGGTCCAAGCCATCTTCAACCGCGATATAGAGGAGGTGCGGTCGTTGCTGAATCAGAAGGAGAACATTAATGTATTGGTGAGTGCTGCCCGGCCGTGCTTGCTCCCCTTCCTTCACCCAGCTCTCCCCATTTCCTTCCCGACAATGCGGTTCTTTAGCAGAGGGGAGGGCAGAGCAGAGGCTCAGTGGGTGAGATGTGGGTGCTGTCAAGGGGGGGCTCTTTTTGGCGAGGATGGTTAGAGCTGGGATTTTGAAACAAAGATTTCTGGATTCTGCTCCCGGCTCGGCCACCGTTCGCTGTTCAGCTTTGTCGCGTTGCCTCGATCTTGCCATCTGTAAAATGGGACGCGTGGAAGACCAGGACTCCTGCCCCTCCCCAGGAGACGGCGAGAGCCTCCTAAAGCTCTCGGCCGTGCAGAACATCGCTGAGAGGCTGTGGGGTGTGTGGGAGGACTTTTCACAGAGGCTCGGCTTTGCTGCCTTGCCAGTTTACCTTTTTCTCCTTTGGGATGGCGACCCAAAATAGTTTGGTGTGAACGCAGCAGGTCTGCCTTGTGAGAAGGTTGTTCCCCAGGGGGGAAGGAGGATTTGAGCTGCTCAGCAAAGCCGAGTTCACCTCACAAGGGTTAGAAGGGGTTTCCACTGCTCTCGTCTTAAGCCTGATGGCAGAGGGTGGTTTTGACGCTCGTTGCAGAGCGGGCAGGGGGGCCGGGAGAGGCGGCCGCTGTTCAGACACAACCCTCTGGGTCCCGTGAGTGGCCAGGCTGGCTCCTGGGGGAGCAGCCCTTGGTAGCCCCTGTCCGGTGGTGACGAGCATGGTTTGTCCTCGTGTGGAGCGTGGGCACCAGGCTCCAGCGAGGGAAGGGGTGAAACCTGCCTGTGAGCGTTCCCGTCTGACTTGTCAGTGTGCCTTCCCTTGATCTGGTTTACGAGCTTCCCGCTAACAAATCAGCGGCAGATGTGCAGATAAGAAACGCAGCCTGCTGCGACGCAGGCTGGCGGGTTGGCCGGCCCTGACTGCACCGGCCCAGGTCCGCCTGACGTGGTGGCACAGTTGGACTGGTGCCGGGTCAGCAGTTACCACGCTCTCAGCCCAAAAGCCGGGCTAAGTTGTGAGCTCTAGGCAAGAGCAACTTGTTCTGGTTCACCGTCTTGCTCTCCTCTGAGCTGTGGCATTAACCAGGGCTCCGGTCTGTGCCGCTCCCAGCTGTGCTGCAGGCAGCTGCCGGCTTTTCGGCACGCTCCTGTTTGTTTCGCTGAGCGCTTGGTCAGGGCGTTCGCCCGACCCAGCCTGCGGGGCCGGGGCCGGTGCACACCCGATCCTCGTGGTGTTAAACCCTGGGGTCAAGGGCGGGCGCTGCAGACGCTGGCTGGTGTCCTGGGAAGGTGAGGGCGGCCCTGCGCTGGTGCCCGTGTGCCAGCAGGACTAATGATTCGATCGTATCTTAGCTTATTACACAGAGATAGCGTGGGGATTTTTTTCCATGACTTGGTTCGGTTGGGGACCCGGCAGCTCTTCGTCCTCTCTTGTCAGGGGAGAGGGTTGGGATTGTTTTGCTGAGGTCTCGCGCAGCTGCTGAAGGAATAAAACCACAATTGTTAACACTTAATTTCCTTTTTGTGTGCAGGTTTAGAAATGTTGTTGCTTGTTCAGTGACCTGCCAGCTGGGTTTCACTTTCACATCCTCCTGCCTGGTTGTGCCAGCACAAGTTGTTACCAAAAAAAATGAAACCACCACCATTTTCCAAACAGTTTTTAACCTAATGAAAAGCAATTACTTTTTTTTTCCCCCCCCAAACACAAAATCTGGGGCTTGAAATGAGTTGTGCTCGACTGGCTTTCTACTTGTTTGCTTCCTGGCTTTAGTACGTGGCATGTTCACCGAGGAAAGCCTGAACCAAATGCCTGGAGGCAGAGGTTACCTGGGGCCTGGCCCTGGGTAAACAGAAGTGAAAGGTATTTTTTCCTCGGCTAATCCAATCTAAGATCAGAGAGGGGCTTCTGCACCTTCCTGCTCCTCAGCAGCCGGCAGGTCTGAGTCTGGTTTCAGAGCTGTCTGTAATTCTGAGTGGTTTTTATTGTCGGCCGAGAGGATAAAAGTGTGCAGAATGGGACGGCCTATGCACTGTCAGAGCGCAGCCAGGCTTTCATCTCGGATCGCAGAGTACTTTGCAGACGTTCATTAAGTCCAGTAGCACCGGAGGCAGGTCGGGTCGGTCTCCAGGGAGTCAGTGGGGGGATGAAATGAGTGGCCGGCACTGTCATGGCCTCCCCGTCTCGTGCTGGGGTTATGGCCCAGGTACCCTCTGCTCTGGCCACCAGCTACACCCCAGCACCCGTGGAGCTCCGGAAGGGCTGCTCACCCCCGCAGCGCCGCAGGAGGGTGCTGGGTTTAAGCAGTTTTCTCCCTGTCGCGTGTCCCAAGATGCTGCACGCGCTTATGGGGGTGTTGGGGCAGACTGGAGTGGAGGAGGGATTGTGCTGTGAGAGATCTCCCTGCCCTCAAAGCTCACAGAGGGTTTTTGTTTCTTACATCCCTGCTCAGGACCAAGAAAGACGAACGCCGCTGCATGCTGCTGCCTATATAGGAGATGTTGCAATCCTCGAGCTCCTAATACTGTCAGGTAAGGGCCAAGACTCAGGGCACTTGGCTCGAGTGCTGGCGCTGCCTTTAAGGCGTCTTTCTGATCTCTGGCCTTAGGGGTGCAGAGCAATAGTTTTTGGTCACCCTCCAACCAACCGTGCGCTTATGCTTGAGCCAGTGGGGTTGCAGCCAGGGGAAGATTAGGAAATGTTGCCATAATCCTAAGAGGTTTGTTCAGACAGAGAAGTGTCTTGGAACTGAAATAGCAGAGGTGGAAACCAAGCCAGGAGGGGGATGTGTGCAAGATGTTAGAAGGAGGTACTGGGGGAGGGTGCAGTGGGGATGCACACCTTGGAGATGCCTTCAACGGCAGGATGCTCAGGGGAGCAGAGTTTCACTTGCTCATGGAGAGGGGTCAGCTAAAAAACAGGATTTTGCTCAGTTTTGGCTTGTGTTACTTGGGGTAAAACTGCCCTTCATTTCCCTCCGAAGACACTCAGCCCTGTGCTTGGGTCCTGTGCCCATGTGGTGCAGGCAGGGGAGCCTCCTCATCTGCCGTTCACCAGCGCAGCACCTCGGGGCACCGTGGGCTTCGCAGCTGCTTGCTGGTGGTGTGGGGGAACCCCGAGGCTGGCATGATCCTGCATGATCCTGACAAGGAGAGGCTTGGGGAAATCCTTTGCTGAGGGCTTGTTAAACAGGATTGGGGATGTTCAGCTCCATCTGCAGAGCATGGGATGCGCTTATGTGCCCTGTGTTGATTTTTTCATGCCTGTGTGTTGAGTTCTCAGCAGCAAAGAAAGGCAGGGGCTTCAGGAGTCGTGGGACCTCAGTGCTTAGCACAGGTCTGGAGCTGGGATGGCAGTAATCTGTCATCTTTCCTTTCTAATATGGAGATGCAGCTCACAGCGACCACAGCTCAACATGGAATGCTCTGGTTTTTTTTGACTCAAGTGGCCTTGTTTTAAACTAAGGAGCAGAACTGCTCGCTGGGTCTCTGTTGTGGTTTTTTGGCTCAGTAGGGAAGCTGGCACTCTGGGAGGTGTAGTCTCTTCAGCCTCTGCCTTGCTGTGTCCTTTGCAGCGCACTGGCACAGTCTCCCAAGGGGTGTAGCTTGTTCCTCTTGCAGTTCACAGAGTCTGTCCTCACCTAAAGCTCAGTGCAAGGTCCCCTCTTGCAGGAGAACTGGCACTCGTGCCCGTCGGGAGCCTCAGAGGTGGCTGCAGACCTGCCCTGGGACTCTGGAGCGGGGCAGCCGGTCACCTCTCTGTCCCCTGACCCCTTCTTTTGTTCTTCCTCAGGTGCTAATGTTAATGCGAAGGATACTGTTTGGCTCACCCCATTACACCGCGCTGCAGCTTCTCGTAACGAGGTAGGCTCCCTCTGTCTCTCTCTGCTCCTTGCATGGGGGTGGTGGGCACTGATGGGAGGGGGGGACTGTTCTTTTCCTTCTCTTTTCTATCTTGCCTGGTTTTGGCTGAGATGGGTGTTCTCATTAGAGCGGAGAGGGGACGAACGCATAATTCAGAGGCTGAAAATGAGAGCTGGAAAAAAATCTCCTTGGTTCCCTTCCCTCCATCCTTCAGGAGTTAGCACGTGGGTTTTCCCCACAACATCCTCCTCCCCGCCTTTCCCCCTTTCCCCAGGGCTTTGTCTAATCCAGCTTTACATTTCTTTGAGGGATGATGGGGCTCTCACTCCTTCTCTTGGGAGCTGATTCCAACGGATCTTGTTGGAAAGATTTCTTGAAGTTTAGCTTTTGTGGGCTTAACTTCATCCCACTTAACTTTGTCCTGTTTTGAGTTGCTGGAGAGCAAGAAACTCTGTGGTCGTGTTGGTTGGAGCCAGCGGCTCAGAAGCCCTGACTCTGACATGCAGGGCAAGTTACCACACATCGACTGGTTGCATGAATTCTCTTAATCGGCAGCAGACACGGGATGAAACACATTAGCGTAAACCTCTACTGAAGGCATTTGCTGTGAACATGTGTGGACAGTTACTGTGGGCGCTAAAATACAGGAGCTCAGCAAGCCGAGACTGTTTTGCTGTCAGGTCTGAAGTGCTGCTTCTCTGTGAATTTGAGCACGCTCGTTTGCTCCTCTGCCTCGACTCAGATGTGCTGGAGAGTCACCTCCCTTGTTCTCTGCTTCCCCGGGGTGCTTGGCACAGGGCTTCACCAGTGCCCTGCGTGCCCAGCTCCTGAGAGGAGCCTTTCTGAAATGCCTGTGTGCTTCATGGCTTTTCCTGCCTAGAGCCTGCTCTAGGATTGCTGGGTTTATGTACTGCCTGGCCGTCTCACGTGCTTCTCCCAGCCGGGAGTGGTATCGGCTAGCCCTGGGAGAAAAGAGCAGAGCAGTGAGCCGTGGGGCTGGGATCGTTGGAGGTGCTGCCCCGATGCTGCGTGGAAGTGGGCAGCCTGTAAACCGTAGCAAGGAAAATGTGGGGTTGCAGCAAACAGCCTCTACCAGCAAAAGGGGGAAATAATTATCAAATATAGGTCAGTGGGTCACATTTGTCATCCCCTGGGCGCTTCGCACCTCGTGAGTCATGGATGAACACTCACTTACAGTTAAATCACGTGGCTCGGAGGTATTTCTCCCGTGCCGGTACCCCCGTGCAGCCACGTTTCTCAGCTGCACTTGGGTGGGATGAGCCCGGCTCATTCAGGTCCCACACGCCGAACTCCAGCCTGGAAGGAGCTGGAGCAGCCCATGTGAGGGCTGGAGGATTTGCGTAGGGAAGATTCCTTCTCACTGCTCATTCTCGGAGTCCCTCTCACGCTGTCTTTACCTCTCTCACCCTTTCTCTGTGATAACACGCTGAAACGTGGCCATATGTGGGCTTCAAAATGTCATTGGGGACACAAAAGCAAACAAGTCCTTTCCTTTGACAGAGGGGGGAAGAAGCCGTACTTGTGAGCGTGCGGTGCAGTTTCAGCTCGGCCCCGCAAGGGCAGCTCTGGCTCTCGGGGCTGTAGGCTGGTGTGGATCTGGGCAGCCCTGTGTGTGCTGAAAGCACGAGGCGGACCGAGCTGCAGCTTCCCCTACCTGGCTGGAGGGCTTCTGCGAGCTCCAGCAGGTTGGGTTAGAGCTCTGCTTTCCTCTGCTCCTGCTAGAAGGCACTTCACCTCCTCCTGAAGCACTCGGCAGACGTCAATGCCCGTGACAAGTATTGGCAAACGCCTCTGCACGTCGCCGCTGCCAACCGGGCCACCAAGTGCGTGGAGGCCATCATCCCCCTGCTGAGCACTGTCAACGTCGCGGACCGCACAGGCCGCACGGCGCTGCACCACGCCGTGCACAGCGGCCACCTCGAGGTAGGCGAGGCGGGTTTGGGCGCAGGGGGTCCCGCGCGTGTCCCCCTTCCTGGGTCCGGAGTTCGCAGGTGGCAAAGGCACCTCGGCCTGCACAAGCGGGGAGGAACGGCAGCCTTGCCTCTCTCTCCACTTCTCCCCATCTAGATGGTGAACCTGCTGTTGAACAAAGGGGCCAGCCTGAGTACTTGTGACAAGAAGGACCGCCAGCCCATCCACTGGGCAGCTTTCCTAGGTAGGTTTTCCTCATGGGCTTTGGTCCGGTTTCTCCTCCCACATCGCTTGCTGCCTATAGATTCACCTTTCAGGGTGGTGGGGCTCCCCAGAGGCTGCTGTGCCCAGGTCTCCGTTTTCCGGGGTCCCCGGGCTCTTACCGCTGTCTCCCGGACAGGGCATTTGGAAGTTCTGAAGCTGCTGGTGGCCCGGGGAGCTGATGTGATGTGTAAGGACAAGAAGGGCTACACCCTGCTGCACACTGCGGCAGCCAGCGGCCAGATCGAAGTCGTGCGTCACCTGCTGAGGCTGGGAGTCGAGGTAAGACCCCCACGGCTGCGAGCAGGGTGGGCTCGGGTGCAGGCCAGTCTGGAGGCAGGAGTAGGAGAGGGTGCTGGGTGGTGGCAGGAGCCCTGGCTGGTTCTCAGCTGCCTTTTTTTCTTCCTGAATCCCCAAATCCTCTGGGGTTTGTTGCTCCCACAGATCGATGAACCAAATTCCTTCGGTAACACTGCACTTCACATTGCCTGTTACATGGGCCAAGATGCCGTGGCCAACGAGCTGGTCAATTACGGCGCCAATGTCAATCAGCCTAACGAGAAGGGCTTCACCCCTCTGCACTTTGCTGCCGTCTCCACCAATGGGGCCCTGTGCCTAGAGCTCCTTGTGAACAACGGGGCCGATGTCAACTTTCAGGTCTGGCACTGAGGGGCTCAGCTTGGGGATGGGGGGAGTGAGGACCTGCTGCCTGAGGGGAGAGCTCAGGGAGGGTGGTGGGAAGCCTGATGCGATGTCGTTTCTGCTCTCCGCAGAGTAAGGAAGGGAAGAGCCCTTTGCACATGGCTGCCATTCACGGACGGTTCACACGTTCGCAGATCCTCATTCAGAACGGTGAGTGGCTTCTTCCTCCGGCCCTGGGTTACCCCAGCCTTTTCTTGTGCTTCTCAGCACCTGCCTCCAGGACCTCCCTGCGTGTTTGCTCGGAGAGTTTAAGAGCTCTGCAGTTATCACTCAAATTCACTCTGTGCTCTTGGGGCTGTTGCCGGTGGCCCTGTGCTGCTCGGGGGTGGCAGGGAGCGTGTGCCCTCAAGGGCAGCGAAGTGCAGACCAGGGGACTGAAATTCCAGCCAGGTCAGAGCTGCTGTGGCCAAAGAACATTCCCACTGCCACGTCCAGCCTGAAAGACAATATTCTTGTAAGAGGGCTGCAGGCTTGGCAGACACCCCAGGGGTTCAGCCGGAGACCTCTGGGGCTGAACGCATCCCCTCCTGGGGCAAGGGGGAGACATCTAATGCCCCGGGTTTGCAGGATACAAGTGGGCTCTCAGTTCAGAGAGCAGTTTACAGTTCTCCTTCTGCACGGTGCTGAATGGACTCGAGTTATTAGCCGTGTCCCCTGTGCTGCTCGGGGGTGGCAGGGAGCGTGTGCCCTCAAGGGCAGCGAAGTGCAGACCAGGGGACTGAAATTCCAGCCAGGTCAGAGCTGCTGTGGCCAAAGAACATTCCCACTGCCATGTCCAGCCTGAAAGACAATATTCTTGTAAGAGGGCTGCAGGCTTGGCAGACACCCCAGGGGTTCAGCCGGAGACCTCTGGGGCTGAACGCATCCCCTCCTGGGGCAAGGGGGAGACATCTAATGCCCCGGGTTTGCAGGATACAAGGGGGCTCTCAGTCAGAGAGCAGTTTACAGTTCTCCTTCTGCACGGTGCTGAATGGACTCGAGTTATTAGCCGTGTCCCTGAGCTGGGGACGCGGCTGTCGGAACAGCCTGGGCTGCTCGGGACTAGAACACAGAGACCCGTTGGCAAAGCACTTGGCTTTTCCTTTCTAGGCAGTGAGATTGACTGTGCTGACAAATACGGCAATACCCCCCTCCACGTTGCTGCTAGATATGGCCACGAGCTGCTAATTAGTACTTTGATGACGAATGGTGCTGACACTGCAAGGTAAGGAAGGACTCTTCCTCCCTTTCCCTGTCCTGGGCTGGAGGATGCAGGAATGATCCATCCTGATTCCCTTCTCGTCTCCTGGCAGGCGTGGGATCCACGACATGTTCCCTCTGCACTTAGCTGTTCTCTTTGGATTTTCAGACTGTTGTCGTAAGCTACTTTCCTCAGGTGAGTGGCTTGGCCGCCCCTCCTGCGGCGGGGGCAGTCAGGGGACCCTCGAGCTTCCCCCTGACTCCCTGCCCCTCCTGCCACCCAGGTCAGTTGTACAGTATCGTCTCCTCGCTGAGCAATGAGCACGTGCTGTCTGCAGGCTTCGATATCAACACGCCTGACAACCTCGGGAGGACTTGCCTCCACGCTGCTGCTTCTGGAGGGTGAGCTGTGCATGGGGCACTGGTCCCGCATTCCGTGCAGGAAGGTCGCTGCCTGCCCCCAGCCCAAATCGTAACCCTCCTCTCCACCCGTGAGCTACAGCATGGGCAGCCCAGTGCAGTGCTTTGCTCAGGGCTGGGAGTCGGACCCCTGGGTGCGGTTCCCGGCTCTGAGAGAGAACGGAGACCTGTGTTTAGAGCAGGAATGAAAATGGAAACCTTTTGGCCCTGTTCTGCCGCTGACTCTGACTCATCCTGGTCGCTCCCCTCTGTGGCTGTTTATCCTTCTTTAAAATGGGGCTAAACTGCTTCCTTGGCTGGGGGTTCGTGAAGGGCTCACAAGCCGATGCCTGAAAAGCAGCAGGGATTTAGCTGGCTGTGTAAACGCCTCGTATTGTTTGCCAGGGAGTTTGATTTCACACGGTGCGTTGAGAGCGAACGTGGCTGCAGCAATACGGCAAAGGCGTAGAGTCCCGTCGAGGACCTTGTTTCTGTTACGTCTGTATGCTTGAGGGCCAGTCACGGAGCCGTCCTTCGGCATCGCAGCGCCGTTACCCTGCCTGAGCGGCGGGAACAATGCACTGACGCAGAAGCCAGAAATCCTAGATCTTTTTTGTAGCATAAAATCCAGTGCGTCAGCTGCACTAATGCCATGGCTAATGTCTTTCTATAATTGCCTGGTTGTTTGAGTGCTCCACGCAGTGCAGGTTAGCGCTGGTAAGGCAGGAAGCATGAAGGGTTATTCCACTGGAGAGCAGGGAAGAGCTTTGTGTATGCAACATCCAGCCATGGCTGCGGCTCTTATGCTGCCCAAAGATGACAAGCTGGATTGAGCTTCGGCACGTCCAGGCTGCGCGGGTGAGAAGCGTAGCTGTCTTGTCTGCAACTAGGAGGAGTTTGCGTTCCTGCTGTGGTCCCTTTTGATCTGTGTCTAACTCATCTCCCTGCCTCCTGTAGGAACGTTGAATGTCTTAATTTGCTGTTGAGCAGCGGCGCTGACTTGAGGAGGAGAGATAAATTTGGAAGGTAAGTGTGCTGTGGGCCTTGCAAGGGAGCAAGGGTGATTCTTCCAGCCCTAAAACAGCTGGAGCGCGCTGAGCCTGGGTTTGGGTTGGGACATTCCTAAGACCTTTGCTGCATTTGGTGTCTAAAGCTGCTTCCTTCACCCCCTCTCACCCCAAGGGATCCAGCTCTGGCTCTTCAGGAGCTGCTGACCCAAACCCTTGAGCCCAGAGCAGGGTGCAGCTCAGCAGCAGGGGGGTGCCAGGCGAGTTTCTCCATCTGTGACAGGCAGTGCTGCTAAGCCCCCTTCTCCTTTCCCCCTTCCCAGGACTCCACTGCACTATGCAGCTGCCAACGGCAGCTATCAGTGTACGGTGACACTGGTCACGGCAGGAGCCAGTATTAACGAGGCTGACTGTAAAGGCTGTACCGCCTTACACTATGCTGCTGCTTCGGACACGTACAGGAGGTGAGTGTCTCGGGGGCGCGCGCTCCTCGCTGCTGGGGCTGGAGACGATGGCACACTGCTGGGTGGTGATGCTCCGCTGTTCCCTGGCCACCTCCCTGCAGCTGATGCTCAGTGGTTTGTGAAGAGGGGAGTGCTTTGAGGAGCGTGGGTAGGAGGGGGTAATCAGCAAACTGATGCAGGTCTCTGACCTTTCAGAGCAGAGACTCATTCAGGAAACAGCCATGACACTGATGAGGAGCCACTGAAGGAGTCCAGGCTGAAGGAGGCATTCTTGTGAGTCCACGCTGCAGCCCCATCTGGCAGTTGTTTGTTGTTTACCCCTTCCCTGGACCCCTGCATGCAGTCGCTAGAAATACCTTGCTTCTGCTTACGCTGAAGTGAGCAGTGATGCCTTGGAGGAAACATCTGCTGATGTGATTCTCGAGGCAAACCTGGCTGTCGCCTCCTGGTGCTAACTTCCAGTGGGCTTTGCACGCGCTCCGTGTCTTGAGGGGATTAGTACAGTATCTGCTATGGGATCAAAGCAGGGGAGGTCCCTGCAAAGCTCTGCCTCTCCAGTCTCCCCTTTTTCTTCATCTCCCCTTTCTCTTGCTCATTGCAGTTGTTTAGAGTTCTTGCTGGATAATGGTGCTGACCCATCCCTCCGGGACAAGCAGGGATATACCGCTGTCCACTATGCAGCTGCGTACGGCAACAGGCAGAACCTCGAACTGGTGAGTGAGCCAGAGAAAACCCTCTGTGCTGCCAGGAGAGGGGGGGAAGTCCCCCCTAAGGAACGTGTCAAGCCCTACAGTGTCCAGGTGTGGCTAGAGGACTGTGTGTGTTGTAGGCACTACAGTGTCAGGGTTTGCCCGGGAGGAAGGGAGATAGGTTTGATTAAAAAGCATGGGGGCTCTTGGGGAGCCGTCGTGCTGGGAATACCACGGAGGAAAGATCTGGGCCTGAGTGAGATGCCTGAGAGAAAGGAGCTTTGTTACCCAGCACAGGGTGACGTATGGATGTCTGAGAGAAAGGAGCTTTGTTACCCAGCACAGAGTGACGTATGGATGTCTTGCTTAAACCCCTGGCAATAGAGCAAGGTTGGGCTTTTAAAAGAAAGCCTGGAGACCTGTGCCAAGGAGGAGCTCTTGCAGTATAGAAAATGCCTTGTAACTGTCTGAAATGCCTGCATTGCTGCAGGGTAAGCTTGCAGCCGTGTGGGTATAGGAAATCATATGAGTAGTGGGGAGGCTTCTGGACAGCAGGGACTTGATGTGACTGTCTATGCAGGGCCCAAAGCCAGGTTAAGGAAGGTCCCTTCCCGAAATTCAGATCATTCTGAAGCAGATGAGCAGGTTTTCTAACTCCTCTGCAGCCTGCTGGTGGACAGGGTGTCTGTCGAAGCCTCCGTGAGTCCAGGATCAGTTATGGTTTTATGTTGTTGCTGTTGCAGCTCCTGGAAATGTCTTTCAACTGCCTGGAGGATGTGGAAAGCACCATTCCAGTCAGCCCTTTGCACTTAGCTGTAAGTACAGCTGGCCCAACCCCAGGCTTGTGGAGGGCACTTGGCTCCGTGCGGGGTTCACGCTGAGTCCTGGAGAGGTGCCCGCTCCTGGGCAGCGCGGGCTGGGTCCCTGCAGCTGTCGGTGCTGAGCGGGGCGAAGGAGGAAAGGCGCCGGCGGCTGGGGAGCGGCTTTCCCCACAGGCCGTCGGTCAAAGTCCCTCTGGTTTGTATGTTAAATTCCTTGCTCTCTCCAGGGCTTTTTGGTTGCTGCTGTTTGGAGCCACCTCCCTTGTCTGAGTGTGGGCAGGGGCGGGAGTGGGCGAGGGCTTTGTGTGGGACTGGGGTGGAAACGAGAGGCAATGGCCGAGCAGGAGCTCGTCTGGCTGGAGGGACACAGGGAGCGGGAATTGTCCTGGGGGGGTACTTCGGGTGCAGCCTCTCCAGGCACCACTTTAACGTGGTCTGCTTTGTCCTCAGGCCTACAATGGTCACTGTGAAGCCCTAAAGACACTTGCCGAAACCCTCGTGAACCTCGACGTGCGGGACCACAAGGGGCGGACGGCGCTGTACCTCGCCACGGAGAGAGGCTCCACGGAGTGCGTGGAGGTGCTCACCAGCCACGGCGCGTCCGCTCTGGTGAAGGAGAGGAAGAGGAAGTGGACCCCCCTCCACGCTGCAGGTGACGGAGGGCAGACGGGACTGGGGGTGGCGAGGGAGTGTGTCCAGAGCCCTTCCAGCCGTCGGTGCCACCGCTGCCAAGGATGCCCGTTCACCCGGCTGCTGTTCGGGGAGAGGGAAGGGGCTGTGGTTTAGGATGATGCTTGGAGTCAGGATGGGGCCAGTGCAGCCTGCTGTGACGTGCCAGCAGAAGCTGAGGGTCCAAGTGGCTCTGCAGCGGGCGGGAGAGAAGACACCAGCGGCTTCTGCACACACGTGTCTTCAGCTCAGCCTGTGCACGTGCTAATCAGTCCTGTAGCCTAGCAACCACATAACGAATTTGCTCAGCCACGTGTGCCTGGCTGCTGGGCGCCAGCCCCTTCCTTTGGTTTGCGGCGGTGGCTGGAAGGAGGGGACCCATCTGTACGTGTGTGTGACTCCTCCTTTCCTCGTGCGTTGTCTCCAGCTGCCAACGGGAACACTGATTCCCTGCATCTCCTGATAGACAGCGGGGAGCGGGCAGACATCACCGACGTCATGGACATCCACGGCCAGTGAGTTTGTCCGGATGTTTCTCTTGGGATCTGTGTGGCACAGGGTCAGGCCCCTTGCAGGGCAGCTGGGACAGGGGAGAGAGGGCAGTGCTTGAACGCAGCTGATTTCCAAGCCCACTCTCCTCCCTGCTGCCTCTCCCCCCTGCAGAACCCCACTGATGCTGGCGATCATGAATGGCCACGTTGACTGTGTCCACCTCCTGCTGGAGAAGGGGTCCACAGCCGATGCAGCTGACAAGAGGGGAAGGACTGCCCTGCACCGAGGGGTGAGTGCATCCCTGGGTCCGGGGTGGGCCTGGAGCCCTGCAGCTTCCACTCGTCCTCCTGAGCAGAGGCTGCTTGGAGAACAAGCAGGTGGTTTCTTTTATTGCAAGAGTCCTCAGTGAAAGAGCCCATTTTCCCTTCCTGAGATGCAGCGTTTGAGAAGGAAGCTGTGGAAGAAGGGGGGTAGTTCTGTTGTTAAATGATTGAAGGGTGAGGTCTGACCTCCTGGTCCTCTTTCCTGGCCACAGGCTGTGACGGGCTGTGAGGACTGCCTGGCTGCCCTGCTGGACCATGATGCCTTCGTTCTGTGTCGGGATTTCAAAGGCCGGACCCCAATCCACTTTGCGTCGGCGTGCGGGCATTTAGAAATCCTGAGGACCCTGCTGCAGGCAGCCCTCTCTACTGACCCTCTGGACTCTGTGGTGGACTACAGCGGTTACTCACCAATGCACTGGGCTTCATACAGTGGTAAGGACCTGGGCTGGGCCCCTGCCCGCCTCTGCTCTGCTCTGGCTATTGGTGGGGAGGAGAGAGCCAGGAAGAGCCAGGTTATCCCTCTGTCCCCCACTGCTTTGGGAGCCGTCAGCCCAGCAGTGAGTTCAGCCTGGTGGAAAGGACGGCACAAATCTGGGAGGGAGGCAGGGAGTTTTTCTCCCCCTGCCAAGCTCCTTAAAAAAGGAATGAAATATGAAAACAGCTATTATAGAACAGGTGAGGCTGCTTCCTCCAGGACTGCTGGATTTCTAGGATTACTTGGCCACCACCCTGGCTGCAGGGACTGACAGGGCAACTGGAAGGGATGTCTCAGCATTTCAAAGGGAAGCTAGCAGTGTGGCTGTGAAGTCCTTCAGGAGACAGTGTGGAATTGTAAACCTCCTGAAGTGCAGCAGCTTAGCTGCCAGAGAGGAAACAAAACCACTGCCTCTGTGCTGGGGAACGGGTTTGTTTGGGCACTTTGGTGCCGCTGGTCCTGTGCAGCCCCTGGGGCCTCTGGCTCTTTGGACGTGGGGAGACACAGAGGGGCCTTCGGTCCCTTCTTGCTGTTGCAGGTGAGGAACCGCAGGTTGAGTACTGATGTATTTCTGTCCCTCTCTCCTCACAGGGCATGAAGATTGTCTTGAATTGTTACTTGAACACAATCCGTTTGCGTACCTAGAAGGAAACCCCTTTACTCCATTGCACTGTGCAGTGTAAGTGGCATCTGGGACCCGCCCTGGGTTCTTCCAGCCAGGTGATGTTTGAGAGAGAATATGTGGTCTGAGTGGAGGAGCTCCAAACCCTGCCTTTCTTGCCAAGGGCTCTTTCCTGGGCGGCAGCAGCTCCTCAGGGTGGTACCACCTGCTCATCCCAGCTCCCCTGTGGCAGGGAGGCGGTTGCTGGACTGCTGGAGGTCCTCAGGGAGCTGTAAAGCAGCTGTCCCGTTGGCTGTGCGCAGCACAGCCAGGGCTGTCAAGTACCAGACTCCCATTGCGCAGCACAGCCAGGGCTGTCAAGTACCTGTCAAGGGCTGTCAAGCCAGCAGGCTTTCAGCTTGATGGAGCTAATGGAGCTGCCAAGGGCTGATGGTTCAGTCCTTGCCAGCCCTCTTGGATGGCTCATCTCTGCTCTTTGGTTATGGAGCACCTCAGGAAATCTCCAGGCTTCCCATGAGGCTCTGGAGATGGGCTCTGGTGGGAGAAGGGCTCCATGTTGTCCCAAGCCTTCTTCCTCAGAGGTGTCTGGGGCAGTGTGAGCATGATCCCTGGGGTCCCGCTGGGCACAGAGGGCTTTGGGGCTGACGGTGATTCCTTGGCTCTGCAGCCGGCAGAGGAAGGAGTGTGCTGCCCTGGGCAGCTGTGGAGGAATGAGGAAGGTGGAGATGTTGCCACGTTCTGCCTGGGGTGGGCCTGGTGCGTCCTTGGGACCCGTAGCAGCAAAGGGATGGGCAAGGCTGTTGTCTGGCATGGTACTGTGTTTCCTTGAGTAATACCGAAAAGGGTAAAGGGGTGTTTTACCCTAAACAACTCCAGACCAGCTGCTGTTTGCATCCGAGCCCCAGGAATGTGCTGCTCACTCCCACTGCAGACGTGCTAATGCTGCTTAGTCTTGTTCTAACTTTCCTTCTCGTCCCCACCGCAGAATTAACAACCAGGACGGCACTGCTGAAATGCTGGTGGAAGCATTAGGTGCCAAGATTGTTAATAGCAGAGATGCCAAAGGAAGGTGAGGGCAGACTCATCCCTCTCTTGTCACCCACTCCCTGGTGCTGCTGGGTGGTGGCTGTGACTCCCGCAGTGATTTCCACAGGACTTCCCATGGCACAAAGGGACCCTGGCGTCCCCAAACATGTCTGTAGGCCTGGGCAGTCTTGCTGGGGGGCGCGCTGTGCCCTCCTCTTTACCTGCTCTCTCGTCTTCCCAGGACACCCCTTCACGCTGCTGCCTTTGCAGACAACATCCATGGTTTACAGCTGCTTCTGCGCCACCAAGCCGAGGTGGACATGACTGACAAGCTGGGGAGGACTCCGCTCATGATGGCTTCTGAGAATGGGCACACTGCAGCAGTCGGTACGTGGCTGGCAGACGCTTTTCCCCAGTATGGGGTGCGAGCCTCCCTGTGCCTCCTCCGTAACCGGGTCCCGTGGGAGCCGGGCTGTCCCTCTCCTCGTGGGCACGCTGGGACAGCTGCCCCACTCCTGCCCCCGCAGCACATGGCCACTGCCCCGCATTGCTGGGCTCTGTGCTGCTGCTTCTCAACAGCAGCTGTCCCTCCTCATTTCAGAGTTCCTGCTGTACCAAGCAAAAGCAAATATAACTGTGCTGGATGTCAACAAGAACACAGCTCTTCACCTGGCCTGCAGCAAGGTAGGGAGACGCCCGCTCACAGCCGTGACTGCAGTCACCATCACCTTCAGCCTTGCCACCTTAATGAGAGGGGTTGTCCGCCTACTCCTGCCCCAACAGAGCAGAGGCGGGGGCCCTGGGCTTGCTCTGCCTGCCTGCTTACCTGTCTTGACCTGTACAGACGCTCCTGATTCAGTTTTGAGCAGCTTAGGTCGTAGCACAGACCCGTCTGTATTTTTCCTGGGGAGCCCCTCTCTGAGCTTGGTGTGCTTCCTGGGGCGTGGTGGGAGCAGGAGGCTTTCGATCAGTGTGTCCACGCAAAGAAGGAGGTGCTGCAGAGGAGATGGAGGGGACAGCAGCTTGTCTTCTCGGGCCTTGCCAAAGTGGTGAACTGTTGTAGAAGGTCGGGTTTAAGGAACGTTTCCGTATCCCGAGGAATCACGTTCCGCTCAGACGGCACCAGGTCCCCTCCACTGCCCCTGCCTTCCTGCTCGTGCACTGTAAACAGTCTGGTCTCCTTTGCAGGGTCATGAAAAGTGTGCCTTGTTGATCCTGGGGGAAACCCAAGACCTTGGCCTTATCAATGCAAGTAACAGTGCTCTGCAAATGTGAGTATTTGGACAGCTGGCGCCAGTGGGGAGAAACAGGGCTTTGCTGGGTGGGGGTGATGCACTGGCAAAAGGGCGGTGGTAGGAGCTCTGCTCCTGCTTGATACGCGCAGTGAGCGTGCAAGCAGGTAAGCTCAGGAGCAGTCAAGTGTCCGCCCTCAAAGCCGCTCGCAGGGACCCCTTGTTTTAGCACAAGGTGTTAAAGGCAGGTGGCTCCGCTGCCAGGTTAACGCTGCCTTTCCCTCTCCCCCCAGGCCGCTCCACATCGCAGCTCGGAACGGGCTGGCCTCTGTCGTCCAGGCCCTGCTCAGCAGAGGTGCCACTGTGCTGGCTGTGGATGAAGAAGGTGCGTGTTCCTCGCGGGTGCCCAGGGGGGTTCAGCGTGATGTCCCTGGGGGATGGGGGCTGCCCGGGGAAGCGCTCAGCCGGGATCGGAAAGATTTCCGCATCCTTTCCGCAGCTGAGCAGCACGTTCTCAGCTCATGGCATCGCAGGAACAGCCTGGATGAGGACGTTAGCACCCTGCGATCCCCTGTAAAAGCATTTCCAGGTCCCACAGGTGTTTGAAATATGTCTTTTGCCCCCCATGCAACTTCTGGTGGCTGCCTGGCTCTCCTGCCCGGCACAAAACCAGCCCAGCCTGAGCCAGCAATGAGCAGTTGACTCACTTGCAAGCTGGCAGAAACTGCTTGCTGTGGCCAGAAGCTTTTTCTCCCAGTAGAGTTCTTGCTCTGCTGGAATACCTTTAAGTTGTGAAAAATACCATTGCGTCTGCCGTGCTGCCAGGGCTTCTGAGGCTTTTTATTCGTCTCCTGCTGATCCTGGCACACTTCAAAGCGGTTGCTGCAATGGCAGGGATTGCCGGTGCCCAGAAGCAGGGTCTTTGGAGAGAAAGACAAATAGATGTCCTGGCCCCTCAGTGCAGGGGTGGAAACTGCCCCGATCAAAGCGTTCCCCAGGGAAGGCGCCTGTCCGGGGCGGTTCTTCACCCCTGGCTTTGTTCTAGGTCATACCCCAGCCTTGGCATGCGCCCCCAACAAGGACGTTGCTGACTGCCTGGCACTTATCCTCTCCACCATGAAGCCTTTCCCACCTAAAGACGCCATCAGCTCTTTCAGCTTCAACCTCCTCAAGAACTGCGGCATTGCAGCCAAAACCGCCGCCTGCGGGGCCCTGCCCAACGGCAGCACCTGCCCCTACAGCAAGGACCGGCACAATGCCATCGGCTTGGACGGCTGTTACTCGGAGTAGCTTAAACTATGGGTGACCTAATATCTTATTATATTTATTTAGAAATTCTATAAATATAGGGCACTTTAAAGGAGAACAAGACTGGGCAGGCCTTCTAGCATGGCCGGGTAGGCCAAGAGTTCAGAGCTTCCTCTTCTCGCTGGATTGCCAGCGCGGTGCCAAAGCTGTTAATTGGTTTAACGAGCGGCTGGCAGTGCTGTTCCCATCCCCTGCCCCTTCTCAATCCTCTCCCCGTCAGCGCATGCTCGCACCCCTCCGACGGCAGGGCAGGAGACGGATGCTGCTGGCTTAGGGCTTCGCCCAGCCAAGACGAAGCAGGTGCGACCATCCGCTGGCCCGCAGACGGGAAGGGGGTTTGTCCCCCAGCTTTTGGGGCGGGTTGAAATCGGTTCCGGTGTTTCCCAGTGCTCCATGCCAGCCTCCCGCCCTGCCTCGCCTCCGGGACGCCCCCGGGGCTGCCCCGAGCCCTCGCTCCGTCCGTCCGGGACGGGGAAGCCTGAACTCTTGGTGGGATGGGGGGGTGGGAGTCTTTGGGAATTGGCTGGTCTTGCAAGCGCTGGGGTGGGTGTTAGCTCCTGGCCAAGTGCCACTGTAACTGCTCCTCTCTCGCAATCACTTTTTTTCTCACGCTCATCCTTCGATTCCAATACAAACACTTGAATCAAGATCTACTGTACCTGGGACGCTAAAATATCCTTTTGGCAGCTGTCATTTATATGCAAAAACGGGTGCTGCTGCCCAACCCCGCGGTCGGCTGGCTGCGGATGCGCTGCTGGAGCCTCCCTCCCCACACCAGGCACTTTAGGGATTCTGTTGGTTGGTTGGTTTTTTTTCTTGGCAAAATGTCGGATCCTAAGAAACGATTCTTTTTTGAATTTTCGTTCTCTGTTTTGCGTGGCCGTTTCCATGCGAGAGTCAGTGTTGCTTTTTTTTTTTAAAAAAAGAAAAAAGTTATTTATAAAGAAACGAGCATTTACCTTTAAAAAAAACAACAAAAACCATAAAAAAATGTTCTGAAAGTTTTAGCCTTTTAATAAGGAAAAAAATGCACTTCAAAGTCCTTATTCACAACCCTAAGTAAGTCTGTGTTTATTTTTCTAATGCAGCATCTTGGCAGGTTTATTAGCGTGCGTGTATGTGGGATCATTGTTTTTTGTTTTGGGTTTTCTGTTTTTAATTTTAGAAATCATATTTATAATGCAGGTTTGAAGCATTCGAGAATGTTGCACTGTTTTTTTCCGTTGGTTGTTTTTTGTTTTGTTTTTTTTTCCTTCTGAATTACTGTAACAGTATCATGTGCAAAAAACAATACTCTTTCTCCATATCACGAGTCTGTTCAAAGCCAAAGACTGGGATGCAGAGAACGAGAACGGGCTGACAGGGCAACAAGCATTTCGGGAACCATCTTCTCCCCTGACCTCCTTTCCCTCCGCAGCCTTGCTGAAAGCGGGGAGCGTGGGGCTGGGGCTGAGGCTCCCGTCCGTGGCCGCCCCGGGGGCGTCCCAGCGTGATCCCTCCAGGATGGGAGCGGGGAGAAAAGGATCCCTCTCTCCCACCGAGTCCTCGGTGGCCGCTCGCCTCCTCTTTGCCAGCGAGACTGCGATGGGACCGCGCGAGCCTTGCGCTGCGGCTCTTCTGCCCAGCGATTCAGAGAGAAAAAGCATTTCTGTAACCAAAATAAGGTATTAATGTCTTTTTTCTTCTTCTTTTAAAATAGTTTCTAAATGAAGGTGGCTCCTGTTAGGGTGGTGTTTGTTGGGTTTAGGTTGTGGTGTGGAGCAGGCGTTGGAGCCGGCCGTTCCCGGGGGAGGCTCCCGGCGGGCGAAGGTGCTGCTGGCAGCCCGCGGGGAGCGTCCCCTCGCACTGTTTCTTTCTTTTACCAAAGCCAAACTCTTAGAACCAAATATGAAGTTTCAGTCTTGGCCTTTGGGTGATAAGCACATTTTCTTCGCGTTTCACGTAGGAGTTTTTCCCAGAGGGGAGCGGGGTCGGGGACCTCCCGTTGCTCTTGCTCGGCACCAGCTCGCCGTTGGAGCTTGGTCTCCCCGTCCCATTACCAACCCGCACTTTGTTCAGCAAAGCACTCGAGAAATTTGCCCTCGGTGAGATCTCGGAGCAGGAGCGGTGGTCAGGCTGGTCCCTGGAGGGCTCTGATCCCCGGGCGGTGGGGGCCAGGCGCTTCTGACGGGCAGGGCTCCTCTGGCTGCTCCGGAGGGATCTTCCCTTCTCGGACCGTGAGCCCCCTCCACCCAGCTCTCGGCAAGGCGGCGGCAGCGACTTGCTGGGCCAGTGGGTCCCCTCCTTTGCTGCCGGCGTAGGATCGTGTCCCCGGCCGATCGCTTCTCCCCTCCCCACTCCCCCCCGACCCTCTAGCTTGAAAGAAAGTGTTAACCTTTCTGCACCGAATACCTCAGTTCGGAACCAGAATAAACTCATGAAACTTGAATAAAAAGATCCTTTTTGAAGATCCTTTTCAGTATTCTACAGAGGAGAACTGGAAAAAGAGACTTGTTTACATTGCTGTCGAGTCCGCACTTGCCTCTTGCAGCTCTTTCCCTTTCCGGGAGGAATTTAGGCATCACTTTATCTCCTCTTCTCGCTGCTGGCCCTCGCCCTCCCCGCGGGGCAGGAAAATGGGTCCAAAGTCCTGAGCCGTCGTCTTCAAGGGCTAAAGTACTTTTTCAGGCACACGGAGGGGCCGAGCCGCCCCCGGCCTTGGCTCCCATCCCTGGCGCGGGCAGCGATTCCCGGGGACGGAGATGGGTTCGGAGCAGGGCAGACCCTGGAGCCGTGATGGCTCCGTCCTCTTGAGCGACGCTCCGGCTCCCCCGAAGTCACTTGGGGAAAGCTCGGAGGCGCCAGCAGAGCTGGGCCGTCCCGTGCCCGCCGCGGGAGGGATGCGGCCGTGCCTCTCGTGCCCTGGTCCTCGATGCCATGTGGCTTTAGCATCGCTGACGGGGGACGGGACTCCAGCACCATTTCACTTGAACGTGGCTTTTTCCTGTAGCCGGGGTGAGAGCGTTCCTTAGAGCACACAGAGAATGCTGCTTTTTTCTTCACACCCCCCTTATTTTTTGGACTATTATTGTGGTTTTCAGTTTCTTTGTTTAGAGAAGAAAACTGATCTCTCTCTTGGCCTTGTTTCTGTGCTACGACGCGTTAACTTCCGCTCAACATGACGACTAAAACTATGACGAGACAATCAATGTGATCTCTGTAAGGGCTTCTCCATTTCTTCTCTGCAGCACCGTGCTTTATATATGTGTGTTCTTTGCTCTTAGTGAGGATCTTTTTCTCCCCTCCCCTTGTGTCTTATTAAAAATAATAATAATAATAATAATAATGTGGAGGGAAACGAGGTTTCAGCAGCGCATCCATGGTCTGGGAGCACATGGGAGGAAACATGGGGTGGGGTGGGAAGGGGGACGTGCGGCCAGTTTCCTTGCGGGTACCAGTCTTGTTCTCCTTTAACGCTGTATTGTATACATTTGACAGCACAGCTTGACAATTTAAGTAATAATCAAAGTGTTTGGTAATAATGCATTATTTTGCTAAACGAGATTTGTGATGGTTTCCCTAGTGCATTGTAAAGAGGGATGGAGGGAAACTTCCGCTGCCCTGCCTGCTCCCTCCCCGGCCCCTCGCGGGGCGGCGGACGGGGGCTCCCCCAAATCTTCCTTCCCACAGACCTTTATGCCAAAGTTGGACCATTCCCGCTTAGTGTTCTGTCCGGCGCCCGGCATCCGTTTGGTGTAGCTCTCACCAAGCAGCGACTTCTTCAGCTTCCCCCCTCAATGCTACTTAAATCTCTTGGTTTTGAATACGCAGGCACCGGATCACCCGTCCCCTCCTCTGCCCCGACCTCCAAAAAAAGGAAGTTTCTCTCCGCCCCTTGGTCCAAAGCACTTGCTTCAAGTAATAAGCACTTTTGTTAAAGCATGAGTCTGGATTCCCTTTAGCATCCCACGGGATAGAGAGCAGCAAGAGCGGAAGGGATAAGAGAGTGTCTTTGGTTTTATTTTTTCATTTTTAATTTTAAAAAAAAAAGTTTGTTTCTAGGGAATGAATGAACAAAGGGAAGTTGTGTTTTGAGAGAGAAAAAAAAAAAAAAAAAAAGCACAAATACATTTCAACTCAAAAGGTGTATTTGCACTGCCATTGCTAGAGAAAGGGGCTGCCAGCCCTGCGGCCCCGCTGAGCCATATAAACTGCTGACAAACACTGAATGTAACGTCCTTGCAGAGGGCAGCCCAGGGAGGCTGGGATTGGCTTTATTCTCGACGGGCACTTCAATGAAATTCAAAAATAACCTAACGATGATGCAAATCTGGTTGGTGTTTCTTTGTTGTTGCTGTTCCCGAGCTGCAGGCAATTTGAAACTTTTTTTTTCTTTAGGAAAATGCTTCCCCCCCCCTCCATCACCCCCTTCCCCCCTCTCCCCCTCCGCCCCGTCCCTGCCCCGAACAGAGCGAGGAGCTCCCTCGACCAAAAGCGAGATGCAGACGAGTAGTCCCCAGCCCCGTCGACCGCATCCCGGGGCTGGAATCTGGCAGATATAAAAGTAGCACTAAAAACAAAGCAAAAACTCCAAAAAAATGGAACAAGTCTTTTTTTCCTGTTTGTTTGTTTTGAACACTCTGAGTGTGGTAGTGATTCTGTAGATACCGCGGCCCTGCCGGGGTCCCCCAGCTGCGGGGTAAGGTGTTAGTGAGAAACAAGTGAAAAACCAAAACAAAGAACAAACTGCAAAGACCCGAGAAACAATCTTTTTCTTTGATTTTATTCTGTTGTTCGGTGGGGCGGGGGGACGGGCCCGGGGAGCTGCCCCTGCTCCCTCCCAGCTCCACCCCGAGGGTCCCCATGTCCCCCCGCCTGCCGCAGGGACCACGAAGGGGGGGACCTCGGGGTCCCCCCAGGTGTGAATGTCGGGGTCGGACCCGTGCAGACTGTCGGCCCACGCTCACCTTTGCCTTCAGTAAGAAACCAAAGGAAAAACCAACCCCTTCCATTCGAGATACTGGCACGGACACGCGGATTCTTTGGTTCGGGGGTTTTTTTTTTCTTTTTCTTTCCTTTTTTTCCTCCTTTTCTGTGTTTCTTTGTTTTTCTCCAAGGACGCGAGGAGCTGTTCAGACCTCTTCTCCTGGCTGAATTTTTCTGGGCTCAGCAGTGCTGGGTGTGTTTGAAAGGAGAAAAAAAACCCAACAAAGCCGAGGCTCGGCTGAAGCGTCGGCGGGAGCTTCGGAGCGGGGAGGCGGAGGGTAACGTATGCGCGAGGCGAGGGACCTGCCGGGAGCTCGTGGAGGGGGAGCGGTGGCTCTCTGCATCGCGGCTCGTTAGTTAAACTAAAATCCTCAGAGTCGCGGCGTGAGGCTGGAACGGGATGGGGTCAGAGCCCCCGAGGGGCAGGGTGGCGACGGGGGATGCGTCTCTAAGGACTCGAAGGCATCTGTAGCAAGCTCTGTGTCTTTACAATATCCTATGTGTAAATGCTGCACCTCTGTATATTATGCACATAAACATTTATTTGAATAAGATAGGACAGACCTCATCACCAGTCAGGTATAAACGACTCTTCCTCTTCTGTGTCTCGGTGTTCTGGCGTGCGTGTGCGTGCAAGTGGTTCGTGTGCGGGTCCGTGTGTCTGGGCGTTGTCTGAGCTTCCCATGCAGGGGAGAAGGAGGGGAAAAAAGAGGAAAATAGCCTTACTTGACCCAGTCATATCAATATTGTTCGTCAACTTGAAAATAATAAAGTAAATGCATGGAAACCTCTAGCTGAGCCACGGTGCGTGACCGTGGGTGTGATGTTTCGGAGATCCAGGGTGCCGAGTGTCTCGCGCTGCGCATCCCGAAGCTCTGGGTCCCGCTGGGGTTTCTCCTTTAGCTGCGGAGGGTGGGCGGCTGCTGCCTCGCATGCCTGGTCCTTCCTCCTGTCCTTTCTTTTTCTTTTTTTTTTCCTGAGGCCGTAGGGAGTGAATTCCTCACGGCTTGACCAAAACTGCCGTTTCTTTGGTGCTCTGCACTTAGTTTCCAGGGGTTGCGTCAGTCCTCGGAGCCTCAGAGTGCTGCAGGTCCCCGCCATGCTGCTCTGCCCGCCCCGGCCAGCGCTGCCCGTCTGTCCGCAGACCTGCCACCAGCTTCCTCGCCCCGGGAGTGAGCCCTTCCGAGCTGTGCCTCCGGCGAAAGACATGGATGGAGTTGCTGGTTGAGTTAGTCCGAGTCGGATAAAACGCGGTGGCTGCCCTCCCTGGGAGGAGAGGCCGGGGAGTGGGGCTGGAGGTGCGAGGGGTCCTGGCCCCCTGAGGGGTCCCAGCCCCGCTGCAGGACAGGGCGAGGGCTCCTGGCGTTTGGGCAGCGTTCGGGTGCCTCACGGTGCTCGGAGCCACTCCTTGTCTTTCTGTGCCCCAAAAAGCTCTCGCGTCCCCTGTCACGCGCCCCTTCACCCTACCGGCGTCTGGCTCCGGCTGCGGGGACAGGAGGTGGGGTGGGCAGAGGAAGGCTGAGAGCAAAACCTGCAGCCCAGCTGGTTTTGCAAGAGGACTGAGCCTGAATTTCAGCCCTCCAGCCACTAGGTCCTTGCCTGGGGTCACATCCTGGCCTGTCCCCCCAGCCGGTGCCCCGCAGCGGCCGTGCTCCCCCGCAGCTGGTGGGCACACACGTCCTGAAGCGACCCGCTACAGCCGTCGCGTTCGGCAGCACGGGCTTGAAAATTTGCACTGAAATCGTTACGTGCCAGTTCCTCCTCCTCTTCCTCCTCCTCCTCCTCCTCCTCCTCCAACAGATCTGAATTTCTCTTTGAGCCCTCAGTTTTTCCCATCAGCCTGTGTTCCCTCTCCTGCGCGCCCCAAACCCGCCGAGGCTCCCGTCCCCAGCAGTGAGAGCCACGAGAGCCGGCTTCAGGCCAGAGCCTCTCCCTGCGGATCTCCACCTCCATCCCAGCGCGGCAGAGCAGGTACTGGGCAGGGAGCTGCCAGATCCGCGGGGGCGGGTACGGCCGGGCTTCGCGACGCTTCCCCGCTCTTTCCAAACCTGTTGGTGTCCAGGAGATCTCATTAAACGCTGCAGGCATCGGGTTGGATTCTGTCACGGGCTGGGATTCGGCTCGGAGCAGCAAGGCACGAGCTGGCGTTTGGGCAGGGCTGGGCGTTCAGAAATAGTGTCTGTCTGCAGTGAGGATGCGGTGCTGCCGGTCAGAGACCTCCCGGCTCCCAGTGCCCGGCGTTCCTCGCCCGCTCCAGGGTCGGGAGCGTGGATGTTAGGCGTGCGGGTCCGTTTGTCCGTGGGCACACACGTGCTCCGTCTCAGCAGGCGCTCTCTTAGCTTTAAAGATTTCCGAGTCCTCTCAGACCCCTTTCAATGTCCTTTTAAAGTCATTCGGTAGGTTCTTCCCTTCCCTTTTCCTCCTCGATACACATGGAAGGGAGTTCACGGAGATTTGCATTTCTCATCTGTCCTGCGTCAGGGAAGCATAGGTTGGTAATGAAGGGCTCAGCCCCCCCTCCCCGCTGCAGCCAGGCCCCGTGCTGGGCGACCTGCAGCCTTTCGGAGCATCCCGCCGGCCAGTCCGGGTTTGACATCTGTTAACATCTCTCGGGCCGTATTTCGGTGCTCTGCTGCCACGCCGGCACTGCCCCGGGAGGCAGCGGTGGCTCCTCTGCCCGTCGCTCCTTCCCTCGCGGGTGTCCGGCACAGGGGACGTCGGTGGGACGGGGAGGGGTCTCGGGCGTCTCCCTGCCCAGCTGCAGATGTGCCAAACGCAGGGCAGTGGGCGCTGGCGCTCGGCAGAGCCGCTCCCCGGGCATCCTCGAAGCGGTCGGCACCCGGCTCCCCTTGCGGGGACTGAAGCCCACCCTCACTCCCCGCAGGGCTGGAGCTGGGGCAGCTGCAGGGACATTCGCCCGCCTGTGGCGTGACCGTCCCCTCGGCTGCCCCGGGGCTGGCCGAACCCCAGAGCCTTGGACACCCCCGGGGACTTGGACACCCCAGTCCCTGGCGCCGGTTTTTTGGCTGTTTCAGACCTTTGCAGGGAGCGGAGAGCGACGTTCCCTGGGGAAAGGGCCCGAGACGGTTCCTCTCCCAGCTCTGCCTGCTCTGGGCACCCTGAGCCCCCACGCTTCACGGGTGCCCCGGTGCAAGACCCGCCCAGGCACAGGGTGCCCTGACCCCCCGTTTGCCCCGTGCCGGGCGGGGCCAGCTGCACCCGGGCAGGAGCTTTCCGTGCCACGGGAAGAGCCAGCGTGGGACGGGAGCGTCTCTTTAGGCTTGTTTGTGGGGTGGTTAGATAACGAAGAGCTGCTTTAATTTGTGTCTTCTCTGCACTGTTCACACCTACCTCTGGCAATAACCGGGCTGGGGCACAGACCTGGGGAAACGCTTTCGCGTCTCTACCCGCAGCCTCAGCGCCGGAACAAGGCGGCGGCGCGCGTAGCAAGCACGGCTGAGCGAGGGCAGGAACGGCCGGGCTCTGCCCGGATCTGCCTGCAACGGGCAAGTGCCCCTCTCCCAGCAAGGGGTGGGTCGAGGGGGAGAGCGGCCCCGAGCGAGCCCCCTGTGCGCCGGCCCCGCGTGCCCGGTGTCTGCGTGCGTGTCCGTGTGTAGCAGCTGCTTCGTCTCCTCTGAAGGTATTTTTACTTTAACTCCCCGGCTTCGTTCCCCTCCAGTGCACTGAAATGTGGAACCTGCTGAGCAAAAACCAGCGTGTGGCCGTGCTGTTGTTCGTCAGCGGCAGGGCCTTAATCGGTAGTCGTTCTTGCTGGGGACCTTTAACATGGATGCCTTTGTACTTGGGCAGGGAGGGAGAGGTGAGTGCGTCAGCTCGAGGGGCCGGTGCCCGAGCGTCCCCGCAGCGAGAGCCATCGGCACCGTCCCCGTCCGAGTTATTGACAACTCCCCCAGTCAATTCCCCATCCAGTTTTTGACTATACAATATCCCAGGATCAATAACAGAAACCTCTTGTATGGTAGGAAAGTAAACATATTAAGAAGTAGAAAAAAAAAATTGAAATGAGGTGACTGACCTGCTCTCCTCTAATGCTAGCAGATGTTTTGCAGACCGCACTATTAGCATTAGGTTTTTAATTAGTATTAGGTTTTTATTTTTTAAAAAAAAAAAAAAAAAAAAAAAAAAAAGCCGGGTGCCTTGGTGGGCAAACTGAGCCATGTCCCCCTGAGCTTGCTGGTTTCTCGCCCTTCTCCTGAGAGCAGGCGCCCCAGAGAGCCCCAAAATCAGTCCTGACCAGCGAAGCACTTGTCTCTGGGTAGAGGAAATTGGAGCGAGCAAAATCGCTTCGTGTCGTGCAAGGGAAACACAAAGCCGTTCAACCCCCAAAGCGGTTCTAGGGAGTGAATACGAGGCAATACGTAGGAGAAGAAGGAAATCAGCCCAACAAGCCATCCGTCCCCGCAGCGCAGATGCTATCCTGTCGGCCTCCTCCTTACCCCCGCCTGAGCCTAGTGAGCGGTTACTTTTGTCTCGGATGTTCCATATATGTATTTTCAGAAATCCTGCATCACCTTCGGGGAGGGAGGGGGGAAAAGGAACTAAAAAGAAATTAAAAAAAAAAAGGAAAAAAAAAAAAAAAAAAGAAAAAAGCATTCAGACTTGATCTATTTTATACAATGTAAGCTGCGACCAAGTCCTGTTATTCATATTGTGGCTTTGAATCAATTATGTTTATTAAAATGCTATTAAAAAAAATTAAAAAAAAAAAAAAAAAAAAAAAAAAAAAGAAAAAAGCATTCAGACTTGATCTATTTTATACAATGTAAGCTGCGACCAAGTCCTGTTATTCATATTGTGGCTTTGAATCAATTATGTTTATTAAAATGCTATTGCTTCTATGTCCTGTCCTTTCTCCGCTAGCGGCTGGTCCAGGGGGAGCGGGAAGGGAAACGCGCTCCGACCTCGCCCCCAGAGCCAGGCGTGTGAGCACCCCGCTGCCGTCCCACCCCGGGGAGCGCTGGGTGCCCCGGTCCCCCGGGAGAGGACACGGGGTGGCGAGGGGACCCCACGTCCCCTCCCCGCAGGGGCGGAGGGGCTGGGGGGGGCCGCGCAGGGCTGAGCCATGGAGACTTCTGGGGATGGCGGATGCT